GGCCGTCTGCGCGTGCTGTGGCGCGGGAGCGTGCACGCGGGGTTGCTCGCGTCTCCCATGGTGCTACAGCAGAGCGGAAGAGAACTGCCTAACGTGTAACGGGTTGGTGTGCGGGTTGATTTGCTAGCTAGCGTTTTGTGAGCTGCTCTTCTGGTTTTCCCCTCTCACAGAGGCCACTTTAAAGCTTCATCTTGTTACAGAAAAGCTTTTTGTATTTTCCCCCAAACCATTTTGGAACCTCCTAAGAGCACTTTCTGGTCAATATAGCACCCACGATCCTCAACTCTATAAATAGCTGCTACAAATAATGGTTGCTGCTGTCTTCCAGAAGTGCCTGCTCGCCGGCGACGGGGGTGAGGTCTTCCCAAATCCAGCTGTGGGCGTTCACGCAACGGTCGAAACGCCTTCCCTCTTCAGTCTCTTCCTTACAAAAGTGAGCAGTGCCCCCAGGGGTATGCACATGGTGGATGCCGCCACCAGCAGCCCGATCACCGCCAGGGCGTAGCCTGGGTAGTCCTTGGTCACCAGCTGCCCCTGCGAGGGAGAGAGGAAGCATTGGATCTGTGGGTTTCCTGCGGCGCCCGGAAGCTGGGTCCGGAGCAAAGCTGTGCGTCCGCATCCCAGCAGGACACGGGAGAAGCGTCTGGGGGCCGCGGCAGCCCGCGGCGCTTCGCTCTGTCCAACTGTCAGCACTCGGAATGGACGGCAAGAACAGAGCTGCTGACAAAAACACGGGCAAACTCCCGCCAGCCTCGGTCAGGGGTGGATTTGGGCTTGATTCCTGTTTCTTAATGAGGTGCCTCGGCCCTGACCTCTGTCGGGGCTCAGTGTTCCCGTCCCGGAGCCCACGGGCTCCTGCTGGCACTGTCGCCAGGCCTGCCCTGGGTCCCCAGTCGGGGACGACGCGAGAACAACGTGTGTCGTTTGTCTCTGCGCGCTAGGAACGTTTCCTTCCACAAAGGTTATGAAAGCCGCGATTGCTTATCCGACTGTAATTCCTCTGCGGGAAGTACACGGTTCAGCGCTCGTCCAGCAGAAGTTTGGCCATGAAGAAAAATATATGTGGAAGTTATAAATGCTGTTTATTCCAGCAGCAGCTCAGTTCTGTTAAAATACCACTGATTTGGTTTGAAATACTACACTTTGAAAGTAATTTTTCTGTTAAAACATACCCTTTAAAAGGTGATATTTGGGTCTTCAACACGAATGAAATTTTACTGTTTGAAGGGGTTGATTAAGAGTCGTTGAGGGGAAATCAGTCCATTTCACAGAACCTGGGCATCGTGGTCACTAGGTTTTCCCTGGTTTACCTTTCCACAGAATCAAGGGATGGCCCCGCCGCCAGCTGGGAGGCTGCAGAAGGCAGCTTTGTGGAACGGTGTGGTGGGAAGGAAGGCTGTGTCCTTGCAGGAATTAAGGAATGTTTAAAAAAAAAACAACCCAAAGGTTGAGAGCAAAACGTACCTGTGCGGCATCCCACGCTTGGTACTGCAGCGTTCCCGTCAGGATGTAGTCGGTGATGTAAAATACGAACAGGCTTATAATTAGCAAGGGACTGGCAAAAGCCCACATGGTTTTCCAGTACCAGTTTGGCTTGTGTCCGATCATCGTGTGAAGATCTTTCTCAAACCTGTGTTTTAAAAGGAAAAAAAAAACGTATTTTTGAAGAGCTGTCCCCGTTCAGCTGATCCCTCGAGCGGTCGCCTCGATGTAGCCTCGCAGTTACTTCACCTCCAGCATCGGGTACCCGAGATGGGAACGGGGAGCACAGTGCACGGGTCACGACAAGGGTCGTGAGCAGCGGGGTATTGCCTGAAGCACTGGCTCACCGGGATCACGTCACGACTCCCTGAGGAAGTACTAATGCTGGGGATGGTACCTAAAATCCCACGCAGCCCTCAACCCAAGGCCCCGGTGGGGGTTTGCAGCGCAGGGGAGACCCCGGCGCCTCGCTGGTACCGCAGCATAAGAGAAGAACATAACCCGAGGTGGTACGTTTATCCTTGGCCCAGCATGGCGTGGCTGGTGGCCACTCCTCCAGCTGTCCCAGCGCGAAGCAGGGAGGGTTCAGGTTTTACCTTCTCAGCCCATAGATGTAACACACAGCAATGGTTTCCACCAGCACGATGAGCAGCAGCGAGAGGGTGGCTGCGTAGTCGTTGAATATGTCGAACCAGTAATTCCCTGCCTCCATGGTGAAGACGAGGCCGATCACGCAGTTAAGGAAACACACAAAACCTGCGTGGATAAAAGCGGGACCCTGCCGTTCCACCGGGAAATCTCATTGCACGGGGGAAACGTCTCGCTTCTTGGGACTGAAAAGCTGCTGGGATTTCTGCTCATTCCTGTCGGGGAGCAGCTTTCTTGGAGGAGAAGGATGACTTTTTTTCCTTTTGGAAAAGGCCTGCGTGTGTGACTACGCTGGCACATCCTTAGGCTGCTGCCTCTTAGGGCAGCGCAGTGACAGCACGTCATTCCAGCAGTCAGTAGACACCGGGCGGAAGGAGTTGGGGAGCTGCAAACACACAGTCAGGATTCCCCAAGGGCAGGCAAAGCCTGACTTGATATTCCCTGCTCCTCCATTAGCTCCAAGAGGGACCCTCAATGGCTGTGGGACCCCAGAGGCTCTGGAGACGCGTGTGTTCTCGCCGCGCGCGTGACCCGGGCTGCTTACCGGAGATTACCTCCTTGGGGAACCGGGCGGCGATGGCCCTGCTGTCGGTCAGCGGCGTGAGGATGGCGGCGGTGTTTCCCAGCATGCTGCCGATGCCCAGCATCAGGAGCATGACGAAGTAGAGCATGGAGTACAGCTGGGGCACCTCCATGTTTTTGATGGCTTCCGAGTAGACTATAAACGCCAGTCCCGTCCCCTGGACGGCCTGCGGCCGAGAAGGGGGAAGCAGCAAGTTACAAGGCAGCTCCTCGGCTCGGTAAGGGGCATCAGAAGTGGGACATGAGCGCCGTGAGAAAATAGACCCACGGTGGATGTCTGCACAGCGGAGGTAGCGGAGATCTTCTCCGGTTTGTTCCAACCGCGCGGAGAGCGGCACCGTGCCGCTTGCAAAACCAAACCATTCCCCCCGAACC